CATATTAAATTAAGTGTCACCAAAAGTTACCTTAAGGCCTGCATCCAGACGCAGAGGTCTTTGCTTTGCTTGGGGGCAGAGGTAATTTATCACTTCAGATTATAAGAAGGGATACCCATTCCCAGAATTCTTACATATAAACAAAATATATGTAACATGGCAGGCAGATGGTTTCTGAATCACTTTATTTCCTGCTGTATTGCTTTTCTATCTGCAAAGTGATTTTTCTTTCCTATTAAGGAGGATTCAAAAACCAAAGTTCCCACCAGCAGACTGAAGAGAGAGATCCCATCTTCCTTGACCATCAGACCTGCTGGCAAACAGGAATTGATAGCCTCTATGAGAGACTTTCTAGTAGGTTAGCGTGGACAGAGAATTCACAACATGTTTTGGTAATAGCCAGTTGGAAAAACAACTGCTTGAACAATCTCATGCAAGAAATAACAGTGCAGTTTGTGTTATTTTTATTTTGGGGGGAGGGGGTGAATGTTCCCAAAGAAAGCTTGCTGAGAACTTCTTATGGGTGCCACCAAACACTCTTGTGTAATACAACTGAGAAAAGGAAGCAAGCAAGCAAGAAGGTAGGGTGGCCAAGCTCAAAAGAAAACAGGGCTCCTACATCTTTAATTATAATGTAGACAGGGGGATTTTAGCAGAAGTAATTTATTTTCTTCTACTCACTAATGTAGAACATAAAAAAGTTCTGTTGGATCAGACCCAAGGGTCATCTAGTTCAGCATTTTTTATTCCAACCAGATTCTCTGGGAAACTCGTGTTCCCCAGCAGGTACAGCTAGGAGTCATCATGCCTCCCATGCTGAAGGCGACATATAATCATCATGACTGTCCTCTGGGCTGATGTTCTGATGAAGCTCTGTTCTTTCTGACATTTGGCCCCCTGCAAACTACCTACAGCTAAAAGAAATGGAACAGGCAGAACTTGGAAGGTTAACAGGATTTTGAAACTACAAGCTGAAAAGCCTTTTTCCAGATCCCCCAACTCAAAAATATTGAAAAAGTGTCACCTGAATAATGACACCTAAGAACCAGCAGACCTGCTACTATGTTTTGATTGACCACCTTACCCCTGCCCTCTAATCCTCCTGATTAAAAACCTGGGAAATGCTTGCCAAACGATTCACACATGTAATATTTTGCCTTCTGAGCTCCATTTCAGGAAGGGGACAAACTCAAATTTTTTCAACAGCACAATCTCATCTGGTTTGGAGCTCCTAGTAGCAACCTTCTCAGCCCATCTCCAGGGGAACAATTGGAGCAATGGCTCCCATGACTGAGAAAGCCGGAGGCCCACAAGAACGGATCCCTGATGCTCAGGGATCAGCAGCCTCCTTGGAACCCTGAGGGCCCCTGCGGGATCTGGAGCATGCAAAAAAGAAATCCAAGTGCTGAAGCCTCGTAAGATTTCACTGAGACCGGTAAGGGTGGTTTGAGATGATTTCCTTTGGAGAAGAAAATTTCTCCATGGGGAAATCTGACAAGTGTGACATTGCTGATCTTCCACAGACCCTGCACCTCTACCTTTCTAGAAGCAAGTCACAGAAATGGGGGAAGTCAAAGAAAGGGAATGAGAAAAAGGCTGATTCACAAGGAAAAATTAGTACAGACATCCAGCCTCTCTTCCTTCTCGCTCCCAGTGAGTTGGTTAGACGGGGGATTGGTCAGAGGGTGATTTTTAACTACTGGAAGGGTGAACAAAACAAAGGTAGTAATGTGGGACAGAGGAGGCAGCAGTTGGGAGCCAACGTGAGACCCCTTACCAGGGTTTCCACCTCTTCTACGTCCACCTTTCGAACCTGGAACGGGATTCTTTATTCATTAACCGATCACAGAAAATAGCAGTGGTTGAGTTAGGCTTGGCAACAGGACGGAAACAAAAGCGAGCAAGCGAAAAGGGAAGCAAGAATTCAAGTTGCTTCCTTGAATTCTACACCACCTGCCAAACTATTTCTCTTCTAGAATTTCTGGGGCGAGAAGCTGATCTCTTTTCAAGCAAAAAGTTATCTAGTTAGGAAACACCACACCCAAAGGGGTAGGGGCAGACGCATGAATACTACTATTCCTTCTGTTTTCAATGTTTGGGGTGGTGTTTCTCAACCTTGGCAACTTTAAGACATGTGGACCTCAACTCCCAGAATCCCTCAGCCAGCTGGGGGAT